TATACTCAATTTGAATTGGTAAAATATGTAAATCCTCGCCTGCTAAACTGTCAGAGATTAATGTCTGAATACGAGTAGGAAGCGCCAACTGTAAAATTATACAGGGCATGGCGATTACCCCATCTGCATAATGGGGCTTGATTTAGAGGCTCCATTTTAGGTTCATACATAAAGCACCCAATGTAGAAAGCCCAGCTTTGTTTAATTGGTCCAGGGCAGTGCCCTCATTTTCTACTACACCACTCACTTCCCTTCTTCAAGAATGAATAACACATTTTCTTTGTGGAGCCCTGTGCATCTTGATTTGGGAACAGGAGCTTTTCCAAGCTATTCTATTCGATTCCTTTTGCGTTGCCTTTTGATAATGCTACTGGATGATGCTATTTGAGGTTGTATTATCTTTCCTGCGCTTGTTTGTCCAGGCAAAGAACAAATGATATCATTGTTGACAGGGTGTAAGAAGCATTTTGTTGATAGATGAGAAAACTGAGGCCCAGCAAGTACAAGGTCAGGCAGGTACAAGTTCCGGCAGAGCTGCTTGTAGCAAATGGATCCTGATTGCTCAACAAGAGCTCTTGCTGCCCGAATTGGGTGTCATTGCAGTACAGTGTTTGTCTGTCTCTTGAGAAATGGGATTCAACTTGTTTTGGCAGTAGCTCAAAGGGCTTTTTCTTAGACATGAAAAATCTGGGGACTATAAGACTTTGGTTAGGTTTGGTGCTTGATCATTAAGACTCCACCTATTCAAATAACTAAGTGCAAGATTCATTTTATTTTTTTAAAGATGATGTTACTGTTCAGTTCTGCAGATTAACATTTATGAAGTCCTTTTGAAATTTTCATGTGTCTCCATTTTATTTTCACAGGTGATTGTTTATTAAAAAGTAGTTTGTATTAGTGAGACTCTGTGAGTTCCAAGGATCAGACACCTAACTCAAGCTCACTTAAGCATAAAAGGCAGTGGGTTGGTTCATACTGTGCATAAGTGGGTAGATCTGAGTCAGACGCAGCTGGATCCAGGGACTCGGTGCTGTCAAGTCTGTGACTCTGCTTCTCAGCTCTCCTTGTCTGTGTGGTGCTGTCATTCACAGACATTCAGCCCGTCTTGAGTTTCCTCTGCATCAATGCCTTTGGTTAGGGATGTGGTGTACTCAGACGGCCAGAACTACTATGAGAAGTAGATGAAAAGGTTTATTCAAGGAATGAGTTTATGCAATTGTGGGGGTCCGCTAGGCAAGCCTGAAATCCTTAGGGCAGGCTGTCAGGAATGGTGGGCTGGAACGCTGATACAGACTGGAATTGGTGTTCACAGGTAGAATTTCTTCTTCAGGGAAGTCTCAGCTCACTTGTTAAGGTCTTTGAATTGATTTAATCAGGCCCACCTAGATTATCTAGGATAATTTGCCTTCTTTCAATTCAATTGATTATGAACTTTAATTACATCCACAGAATACCTTCATGGCAATACTTAGTGTTTGTTTGCTTGAATAACCGAGCATGGTAGTATGGTAGCCTATCCAAGTTGACACGTAAACTGATCCTCAGAGTGGCCAACTGGAGTTCTAGTAGATTCTGTGTGGACTTGTGAAATGGAAGCCTTGTCCTGATATAAATTCCAAAACCTGTACTGCCTTTGTATTGACTCATATGGGACCTGTGTCTGGTGGTTCATATTTAGATGAGTGTATTTGTGGAGGCAGGTCATCCATCATTCACTTCTTTCAGTCTTGTGTTTATTTCACAAACCATTGCAGGTCCAGAAAGATCAAGTTGGATGAAGTAGTGAGCAGGTATATGCCATCTACCCTGGTTTAGAGATCATTATTTTTATATTTGTACTGCATA